TGCTGCAAAGCCTGTGCAAGAGCTTTACCAGTGGTGTATCAGCTGTAGTTCTGGCTCCCTGGTGGCTCTACTTGCCTTTTTCCCCTTGCTTGATTGCTGTTTGGCTTTGCAATCCCCACCTGGTTCACTCAAGAGTGACAGAAATTTGTGTCAGCAGCACAACCTCCTGTTTTGGTAAAAGAAAGGGGAAGTGTCCCACTAGCTTGTTAACGTGGTTCACTGAGTTCATGTGAGAGCTGCACCTCCTGTTACCAACAGCTATTTGCTCCCTCTTCACCCTGACCATTTCAAATGCTTTCTTTCATGCTGTCTTGTATCCAGGACTTTACACTGAGGGTAAGACACAGCTGAGCATGTAAAATTGATGTTTTCACTTCTTGCCAGGTTTTCTAACTAAAAAACCATCTCCTCCTGGCAATTCTGTCCCCAGATATTACCACCACATCATCTAGAATTGTAGGAGCCCCTGTGTGTTTGATATCCTGTGGACTCTCACCAGGTTTCAAAGGGAGATTGTGTTTGCAGGGCAGGTTATGGATCAAACATAAAAATATGATAGAAATTGTGATTTTTGTGGCAGACACCTGATCTGTAACTGACACAGCTCTCTATCCTCTGTAGCCAGGTGAAAAAACAGTCTCTAAAAAACATTTGACTGACTTCTTCTTTTCCCAGTTAAGCCAGGAAAAAATCCTCAAAATCATGAACATGGTGAAAAATAAAGAAGTGAGCATCGAAGGAGCTTTGCATTTGGCACAGAAAGAGGTGTATGCTGACAAGGTAAGGTCACTCCTCTGATCTGTTTTGCAAGACATTCAAATATAGGAGCCTGTTCTGGAGAGCCTGGTGGAGCATTAGGACCATGTCTGTATTGCTTTCAGAGACAATCCCAACTTGTCCAAACAGATACACTCCAGTTTGTGACCAAATAGATACTAATGGGTAGTGATATCTGTATCCTATGTAATGGATATTCCATGTAGGAGCTGCAGCTACACTGCTGTCATTGACTGGATTAAGTAGTTCAAACCTATATCATATGAAAGCTATTCTGAGTGCAGCATCAGGACTGTAGTAATAAATGTAGGGCAAAATCAGAGTCACAGACTCATTTGGGTTGGAAGGATCTTAAAGCTCTTCTCATCACAATCCCCTGCCATGGGCAGGGACATCTTCCACCAGCCCAGGCTGCTCCAAGCCCCATCCAACCTGGCCTGGAACACTCCCAGGGATGGAGCAGCCACAGCTTCTCTGTTCCAATGTGTCACCAACCTCATGGTAAAGAATTTCTTCCTAATCTCTAATCTAACCCTAATCCCTGTCAGTGTGAAGCCATTCCCCCTTGTCCTGTCACTTCAGGCCTTGTAAATAGTCTCTCTCCATCTTCATTAAGATGGTTAACCAAGGTCAGGAGGATTCTTCCATGTATCTCCATGTGGAGTTCTCTTTGAACACTGTTCGCTGAAGGAGATGTCACCTGAGAATATTGTTGGATTGGAGTGGACAAACATCAGCCCAGTGTTAGATACATTACTAATTTCTGTTCTGCTTTTCAGGATTCACAGGATTTATTAACGGGATCACAATTTAACTTCATCATCTACAAATACAAACACTATCGGTGGCAGAAACGAATTTTACAGGTAGGTAACAAAGAAAAGCTTCACTTTTGGAGCTGTAGATAATAAATCTAACGTGCTTAGCTTGCTGGGTGAATGTCAGGAGAGAGCTGAAAAGAATCAGCTTCAGCAGCCATCAGAGAGGTGTAAGATATTGAACAATTCTTCTACCTATTACACCAAAAGTATTCTCAGGGTGATTTCTGAAGCCCTGAAGAGCTGTGGGAAGGATCTGATGGTCTAAGAGGTTATTTCACCACTGCAAAACATCATTTGTCACCAAGATGATGGAGAATATGTTCTGCCTGGGAGTTGTTAGGAGCTCCCAACAGTAAATGCATAGAGTGATGGAAACACACCTAAGTATCTGTTCCTTCTGCCAGGACATCACTTCTGCTACTCTCTCATGGTGTTGATAACACCTGCTGGTGATTTCCTGATTCCATGAGGTCAGGGACAAAAGTTTCATGTTGTTTCCAGGAACCTGAATTTCACTAAAATTTCCTCTGTTTTGGTCAAAATTGGATAATGAGCAAGTCCAAATCACACATGTTATTTGTTTCCTACATCTTAACTGCAAAAAGCTTCATCTCCTGATTTCCCTCAATATCCACTGGATTTTGGAATGAAAAGATGATTTGTTTAGACGTAAAACTGTTGGAAAAATGGACAGAGCTATATTAGATGTGGAAGTTATCAGTCTGGGAATCTGGAGCTTTTCAATTTCAGTTCTCTAGTTTGCAGCAGCCTTCAGAAGTCAGAGATAACAATGAGAGTGGTTCTGCTTTGAAGGTTTCCTGCTGTAAACAGACCAGAGGGAAAGGCCACAAGGGTTGGTGTTGGGTTGGTGTTGTCTGCACGTAGCAGTTCTCAACACTGCAAATGTGGATGGTGCAGTGGAAGGAGAATCAACTCATTTAGAAGCAACCAGTTTTTAATTGTTATAGCTGTGGAGCTGCAGTAAAGTAACTTTATTGGCTGTTATTGCTCCTTCACCTATATAGTGAAGTGACTTTTTCCACAGGCAGATAGTGATAGAACAAAAGGAATGGTTTGAAGCTAAAAGAGCAGATTTGGATTAGATGATAGGAGGAAATTCTTTGCTGAGGGTGCTGAGGCCCTGGCACAGGTTGCCCAGAGGAGCTGTGGCTGGTCCATCCCTGGGAGTGTTCCAGGCCAGGTTGGATGGGGCTTGGAGCAACCTGGGGACCCCTCCCACCAGAGCAGGTTGCTCAAGGCTCATCCAACCTGTGAACACTGCCAGGGTTGGGGCAGCCACAGCCTCCCTGGGCAACCTGGGCCAGTGTCACACCACTCTCAACCTGATGCATATTCATCAAAAAAGAGGGAAAAACACAGCTACAACTAATACCTGTTTGTTTTGTACTTAACCCTAATATTATAGTGTCTTGAGGATGGAATGCCATTTTTAATGCTATTTATTCCAGTCCTTTCTATAATTATTGGGGTGCTGTCTTTGCCTTTCAATGCTGAGAAGTGATGGAGAATTTTCTCTTCCAGATTGATTTCAATGCAAGGACCATTTTTAACATAGAAAAAGGAATTATTAAGAAGCAGTTCCCTTTCTCCCAAGTCAAAGCCTGTGAAGACACTGAAAGGAGACGCTTCAGCATTGTGTTTCATGGCAGACAAGACTATGAGCTGGAAGCTGTGTCTCTTGATGATAAAAGGAAGGTAAGTTTTTGCCATTCCCAGACAGATTGCTATAAATAACAGCTGATGTGCTGGTGGTACCCAGCAGGCCCCAATCACTGCTATGCTGTGCATTGTGCAAGCAAAGGGAGGGATGTCTTTATTCCCTGTGTGTTCCTACACAGAACAAAGGCAATGGGAGTTCAAGGTAAAGTTTGGCCTTAGGATTTTGGCACAGTTCACTAGGATTGGGGATGTAAAGGCAGCTCAAGACATGAGAGGAGAGTGGATGCAGTTTTGCAGCTACACCTTGGATGTAACTGCTCTGAGAGTGTAACCAAAGCCAACAAAGCTGATGACATGCACAGCTGAATCTTAATTAAAACTTTCTCAGCACTTTTTGTTCTCTGTATAAGCTACTTGGTGCAAGGTCTGATTTTAAGGATAAAACAGGCTATCCTGATGCTGTGAAAAGAAAAATATTGAGTAGTTAACCTTTCATCATCCAAATGAACTGCAGTGATACAATTCCCAGGGAAAGGCAACCCCAGTACAACTAATATGTTTGATTAAATGACTCAAGATTTGGTGCAAGATTTCCTATGAGCTGTTGCATTTGGAGGTTTCACCACCTTCTTTTGGGTTCCTAGGTTCAATTCAGTCTCCCAAGTAGTTAGTGTGATTAGGCTCTGCACTGATAATTAGAGAAATCACCTTTCCACCTGCCTGCAGGATCCTGAGTGCTCAGGGCTGCTCAGCTCATGGAGCTCATGGCACCCACTGCTGACACACTGAAGCCACCAGTTAGGTTGAGCTACAAACTCAAACATCAGGGAAGAGTTTACATCCAAACCTCTACTGTGACCATTTTTTGGGGGCCTTTTTGCTGAGGGGTTAATTCCTTGTGAAACTTCTTGATCCACCACACATGCAGAAGCTTTTCTTCCAGTAACTCCTGGCTGATTAGCTAAATTTTCAAAATAGATTAGAGTTAGCAGAAGAACAAAAGAAGGAACATGTATTTGGTGGTAGGAACACTCAAATATGGCTCTGTATAACAAAAAGAGCTCTTTAAATTCATCCCCACCTTAATCCATGCCATTTCCCACTATAGACAAGTCTTCATTTTCCTGCTGGGTTTGTCTGAGATTTCCAGTTAGATCAATCAAGTGCTGCTTGGGCTTGAACTGAGCTGGGCAGGAACTTTCTCCCACAGTGCTTTGCATATGAATTAAAAAAAGTCAAGTTATAATGGTAAAATATGATAATATATAAATAAATAATACTATAAAGAAATAAGAACACAATTATATTCTCCTTTCACTGACAGGTTTAGAATTTTGGCCATAAGTCCAAATTGCAGATAAGTAGTTTAGCATCAGAGAAAGACACAATTTATTTTAAATTTATCTTACCTCTTTGGCTGTGGCTTATAGTGTTGTCTATCATCTTTATGCTTGAAAAATCCAACTATTGATGTTTTATTCGAGGGAATTAACATGGGAAATATTCTCCCTCTGTTGCCACTTCTTGTCTAGATAATATACCTCCTGAGCAGAGTCATTTTGAGCAATTCCTACAAGAGGCCAGTGGAGTCCTGCCCTGAGAGACCTGCAGGGTGTGATGTGATCCACGAAGGGCTCTTGGATTTGCAGCAAAACACTTTTGCATCCACTGAATGGGTGAAGTATGAGCTCTGGGCTGGGGGGTTTGGTACCATTTCTGATAAATACATGAAGATTTTAGTTTCCTGAGAAGTTAATTGATTTTTGAAGTGATAAGGTAGATGCTAAATCTGCGTGAGATGGAAACGTTAACTATTGGTGCAACAGACAAGTTCTGATGTGTGTTTGAGTGTTCTGTGTGTGTTAGCAACACAAATATAGGATGGTGATGGAGCTTAGAGTGATTTTGATGGTGGAACTTCTTTACCTCTTTACTTTTCCCTCCATTCTCCCTTCTAAGCAAAAGGAGGAAAAGACTGGCAAAGCCTAGGAATCCTGTGAGGGAACATCAACTCACACTGACCAAATTGCTGCCCCCAAATCCATAATTCATTCTTCTGACGTTCTTAACTTCCCTCCTGTGAGGGTGACCACTCCTGGTGTCCTGCTGGAGTGGTGGTTTGGGAGACAGGAATCATGAGTCTGTAGGAAATGAATTGTCACCACCATTTCAGCCCTTAAACCATCACAGATAAGCACAATCACCACCATTTCAGCCCTTAAACCATCCCAGATAAGCACAATTTTTTTTTGCTTCTGCTTCTTGTGGTGCTGAACTGGTGAACCAGCCACACTGGGTTGACATAATTTGTTCCCCATTCTACAGGCAAAGCTCCTGAAGCAGCTCCTAAAATATCTGGAAATTACTTATAGGAGGGAAATTATAAATTTCACATCTCTGAGAAATAGAAGTTTCCCTTCTAGGAGAGAGAATGAGGTGGGGAGAAAAAAAGTCTGTCTTGCACAAGCTACTTAAAAAAACTGTAACATTGTAATTGTCTGCACTGGGTAGTTATCTCCAAAGGTTTCCCAGTGCACAGGAAATTATTTTAATTGTTTTTGAAAGGCTATCACTGGGTGTCTTGTAAACACCATCCTCAAGTGTGTCCAGGATTTGTTACCTTGCAACACTTAACAAGTTTGTTAACAAACCCAAATTGATTTTTATTTATCTTGTGAAGCAAAGTCCTTGTTGTTTCCTTCTTGATATTAATCCTCTCTTTTTTTCCCTTCCTCTGCCTTTTGGCAAAGTAAAGAATGGTGGAGGCATCTAGAGATCAGATTAAACTCCAAGGCCCTGCCTTAAAACAGGAGAGATCAATAGATCTGCAAGCTCCATTCAACAATTCTTATCACTTTGACTGTTTATGGGCGAGTAGATGCAATTTATATGTTATGTTTGATTCTTTCTGGAGCAGCTAAACTTATTGAAATTCCATGCAGAACACCTTAATCAACAAACCACTTATTGAAGAGAGAGTGGAGGAAAGGAAAGGTTTGATAGAACTGTCAGAGTGATAAAGAAAGGCAGAAAAACCTCCAGAAAAATAAGAACACAAATGCTTAAAGAAGAATAAACCCCACATCCTATAAAACCCTACCTGTTGTTCTATGTGAGATCTTTGCTATGAGCAACAGAGCAGAATCCCAGAGGGGAGACTGAAGCAGAAGATTCTCTGTAATCAAAGCTGTGGCAGTTTCTGCCGGGGTTAATTATCATTTAAATAGGTTTTACCCAAATTTTGGCAGTCAATTCTGCTGGAAGCAGAAGAACAGAACACTTTGATCTTTTCTTGCCAAGTGGCTCATGGCAATGAGTGGCACCAAGGTCAGTTCCCATGGAGTTGTCATTTCCACGAGGGAGAGATGTTGGACTATATGACTGGGAACTAAATTGGGTGACTTGTTTGTAGCTTGGTGGCAGTGAGACCTGAAAGGCACAGGAGCTCTGAAGTCTTGTCATACTATGGCTCAGTCACACAGTGGGTTCCTTTAAACCTCATAGTCTGAGAGATCCACCATCCCAAACAAGGAATAAATGGAATGGGAAGTAGAGAATGGCTAAAATACTAACAGGACTTGGGTGATTTTTAGTTGATGGTCAGATCTTCTGAGTTTTAGCTCTCATTGAGCATTTCAGGCTGTTCAGATTTTATGTCACAGTTTACTTAGGTGTCAGGTGGGAAGAAGATCTCAAAGGTTTTATGCTTTAGCACTGATACATTTTGACTGTTCCATGCAAATTGTTATGAAAACAAGGAGACTTAGGAACATTGGAAAATGCTTTAACAAAGGCAAAGCTTGTGTGAAGAACTAGTCACTGAGGAATGAGCTGTATCTCCACTTCTTGTCCTTCAGGTACTTGGTCCAACTTCGTGAAGGAGAACTGACTTTATATTGCCTAGGCCTGGGAGGAGAGAACCAAACTGCAGCCCCTGTAACAAACACAATTCATTTGTCAGGGGGTAATGTGAGTGTCAGCAAGGAGAATGGGTGCAGCACCTTTGCAGTTCAGACCAAAGATCACAATTACTTGTAAGTATAGTTGGTAATGAATAATTTGTTGAAGCAGAACTGCTGAAAAACAGGGTCAACCCATAGAAAATCTCAATGTCTTAGATTGAAATATCAACACTGGAGAAATGAGGCCATCAAGAATTTTATAGAGTACCACTCCTATTGCTCTGCAGTGGTTGGATGAGGATTTTGAGGAGGAATCAACAGTACCCCATGGTGCAACTGAGAAGATGCATTGAGTGCAGAAGATGCTGCACACTAAGACTTTTCTAGTTGTTGTGTCAGGAGCCAGGGAAGAGCTGCATCTTTCAGCTTGCTAGGGCAGATAAATGAACAGGTTCTTACTGCTTGTGCAACAAGCCCAGCAAGGTGTAGCACCTTGTTCACCTTCCCCCAAGGTGGAGGAGAGGAATTATGATGTAACTGCACCTCAAAGTCAATATATGGCAAAGCTTCAGCTCTCTGACCTTAGACATGTAAGCAATTAGCTCTGCCTGAAAAGGTCAGAGTCAGCAGCACTGGGCTCCTCTGACAAGGAAAGTTGCTGAACATCTTTCTGCTTAACTAAGGACTCTGTGTGGCTGGATTAGTCAGCAGGTTATTGACACTTCCTCCTGTTTATATGTGACATTCTCAAATTTCAGGTTTCGAATACCCTTTACTGTCCAGAACAACAGGCCAGAGGATGTTAGCAAGCTCCAGAGTGAGTGGGTGAACCTCCTAGAAAAGTACTGCCAGCTGTGCCAGGCTGTGTCCCTGTCTCAGGAGGGATCTGAAGGATGCACCTCCTCTGAAGCCGATTATGAGGAGTTTATTGCACCTCTGAACGAAGAGAAAGAGGAGAGTTTCCAGTTTGGTGTGAGTTCTGCAACAACCAGCCTGAACAAGTTTTCAGCCCCCCAGACAAAGCCTGCAGAGTGGGAAGCAGCCCCAGCATCACCAGCTCTGCCACTTCCCATAAGTAGGGCAGAGATCCCTCCAGCCCCTCCTGCCTTCCCACAGCCCTGCAGCCTCTCTCCAGCAACAAAGAGGACCAAAGCCTTCCACTGGGATGTTGTTCCTTGTGATAAGGTGAGGATAAAACTGATGGGAGCTGTTCCAGATGAGAAATGAATTGCAGCCTGTGTTATATGTCCAGTTAGAACAGCACAGCTGTGCCACAAACAGACCTGGCTGCCCTTCTCTGTGTGGGCATGGAACAAAGTGCCTCTGCTCTGGCTTTTTGTTTACCCTCTGTCACTCTTCTATTTTTAGATTCAAAAATCTGTCTGGGCATCATGTGATCCATACAAGAGAAAAATAGATGCCTCCAGACTCTGTGAGCAGTTCCAGATCCAGGACACAGCAGTGTTTTCGGGCAACGAACCTTCAGTGAATCAGCACATCATGTTAGATCCAAAGGTTGCACATAACTTCAGTAAGTGTTTCATAATTCTGTGCTCCTCTCTGGGAGCCTGAGCTGCATTTTCATAGTTTTATACTATGTTAAAGAGTTGGAATGGAGCTTAGAGATCATCCAGCCCCAACCCCCTGCCCTGGGCAGGGACATCTCCCACCAGACTAAGTAGCTCAAGGCTTTATCCAACCTGGCTGTGAACACTGCCAGGGTTGGAGCAGCCCCAATTTCTTCTTGGAATTTCTGCCATTCAGTAGGCAATGAGACAAGTCTCTATGTAAATCATCTTCTAATTTAGCCCCTCTAATAATCCATCAAAAAAGACCTCATGGCTCAGGTGCTCCCAATGTTGTCCTTAACGATGTAGAGGCGAAGCATCAATCTTCTCTTCTTAAACTAAACACGTGGGTGTACCACTGAGCTGTGATGCAGACATGTAAAATCATGAGTGACACCTGTGATGTCCATGTAAGACTCTGACTTGCAAGGGCTTTACAAATTTTTGGGCTGTCCAAGTGAAACAAGTCAACAGGAACAGGTTGGGAGTAGGATTTGGAGTGCTGTGCTCAGTCTTTTGCCTATACTGAGGTCAAGAACATTGATGTAGGTGTAGGTGAGTTGATATAAGAAGTCTTTTTGGGAGTAGGATTTGGAGTGCTGTGCTCAGTCTTTTGCCTATACTGAGGTCAAGAACATTGATGTAGGTGTAGGTGAATTGATGTAAGAAGTCTTTGAGGCAGTGACAAGTCAGGATTGCAGGAATTCTTGGCATTTCTCTGGCCAAGGGATCAGGCTTGAACCAGGATCCTTCATTCTTATATCACAGGTTAGATCCTACCAAAGACCTGACCAAGAAACTGTCTCTCAGAGCTAATGAAGCAGCTCAACACATAGTTCAGCTCTCTCTAATAAAATGATGTAAAGGTCTTTGAAACCCTTTAATGAGAAGTGGTAGACATTAGAGGAGCAAGAGTAATTGTTCTTCAAAGTGCTCTCTGATTCCTGGCACAGAGTTGGCTTTCCAAAAGGCTTCAATAACCTAGAGATGTGTTAAGAAGTGTTACATGTGTAAAGAATTTGGGGCAGTTAATTTGGAAGTTTTAATGATTTCTTCTTTATGAATATTAATAAGGAAAAAATGTATTTGGGAGCTCATGTAAAGTTTTAATTGGGAACTGTAAATGGGGATAACTTGGAATTATTGCATCCCTTGCCTAACAATTCGAAGGGTTAAAAGGAAGTGAGTGATAGGAAAGTGCTCGTGCAGATAAAAGAATCTTGTAATAGCACTTTTATCTGCTAAATTATTGCAGTTTCTTTGAGGAAATGTCTGTCTTTGGCTTTGCAAATAACACTATTCTTCCTTTTGATCCTGGTCCTCTTACAACTTTTTTTTTTCCTTCATTGAGACATTCTACACCCCTTCTTAATCTTATCCTTAAAGTGCCATCAGGGAGATTCTTTGGCATATCCTTATTATGATGGACATTACTTAGATCAAAAGTTAATTTGATCCTGAGAACTCTGATTAATCTTCCTGCAAGTGCTGAAAACCAGTTCTTAAACTAAGGAAGAAAAAGATCAAGCTCCAAAATGCCAATAGGGTAAAATTTCTTGAGGCTTTGAGTGGATTTCTGAACGCATGAGGAAAATGAGAGTTCTGAGTATAGATCTACACACTAAATTTGAGCCTAATGTGAGAGAAAATACAAATAAAAGCTAAGTTATCTAGAGGATTTTTGTAGACAAAGTGTGGATTATGAGCTAGTACAGAAGTCTTAAACATTACAAGGCTCTTAGTCAGATTTTAGGCTATCGGGCAGTGGTGGAAGAAGTTAGAGCTTCTGTTTCCCAGTTTGCCTTCAATTTGGGAGGAACTGTTCTTGCATGGGCCCTGGAAGTGAAGCAAAGCAAGTAAACAAATCAAAACAAATGGGCAGTGTAATTCCTTTGCCCATCAAAATCTTCTAATATACCAAAATATTGTATTGTTATTTGGAAAAAAACCCACAACTCTTGAGCTGAGTAGAAGAGACATATATATGAGTAAGTACTTGAGTACTTTCCCATAACAGTGTCTTGACAGTTCTGTCTTTGTTATGGCAGAAATTTATTTTTCCTTGACTACAGCTCTGTAAATTTAAAGAAAATCCAATGCCTGAATTATTCCCTCAACATTAGCAACTGTAAATGTTTTGTGGTCTATTTTCTGTTTGTTTATTAGGCTTTTTCCATTTTCTTTTTTTAAAATCTGGTGAGTACAGAAGAGTTGTTTTGGTGATTTTTTTTTTTTTTTTTCCTTCCCTTGAGCATTTCCTTCCAAGTAATCCAAGAATACTTTTCCTCCAGACATTTTCCTTAAGAGTTTCCGGATCAAACCGAGTGAGCTCAAAGACAAACTCTATATCATCCATGAGGAGAGTGGTGGACTTACAGATGAGCAGATTACAGCACTGAGAAGGTAATGTGAGGGTTGAATTGTTTATGGTATGTGGTATATATCATAAAGAGGAGTAGCAGAAGCTTCTGCAGCTGATGTGAAGTCCAAACAAGATGCTATGGAGATTTTGGATCTATCCTGACTGTGAATATTAGGTTTGCACACAGAAATCTCAGTCCTTGCAGCTGAGATTCCCCATGTTTGTAGGAAAGGAATGGCAGCAAATCCAACATGATTTTGTGAGCTGGTTACGGGAAGAAGAGTTCATAAAATAAGTTGTGGCAGTGGAGAAAACTTGAGGAGAAAACTTCTTGTTCCTGCTGTGCCCAAATCAATAGCAAAGCTCTTCTCATCTCTCCAAACTTAATTTTTTTGGAGCAATGGGAGGTCTTTCACTGTCAAAAAAAATATTTATGGAATGCATTCATATAGTCCTGTGCTTCCTTTTTTTCCATGGCTTCCATTGTTTCATGCTTTGAGCCTTCAGGATAATCTGCTGATTGCACTTAATATACATACCACAACTGAGCAATTTGATGGGGTGTAAGACTTGTGATGACTTTTTCTGTCTTACAGATACATGCCAACACAAAAAGACACAGAAAGGTACCAATCATTTAAGGGCTCTTGTTCTGAGCTGCATGTGGTTGACCAGTTTATGTTAGAGGTAAGAAGATGCAGTGTTAAAAGAGACTCCACATGCTGTTTATAGGACAATCTCCCAGATAAAACCACTCCAAGAAGCTGTTGTTGTTTGGAGTTGAGATTTACAATCTCACCCAGACTCAGCATAAGAGGATTATTCTGATTAGAGTTGAGACAGGGAGAGAACAAGAGGAGAACTGGATGGATCCCTTTGGTCCTTGAGTCACACACCCTCCCCTTCCTCCAGAGGAGGAGCTGGTGTACTCTGAGCCAGATTTCCAAACTAGGGAATCATGAATCTATGATTCTTGTCACTGATTTTAATCATATCTGTCCCAACAAGCACACAGTGTCTCCTTGAATTTGCAGTGTGCTTAGGTGGCCAAGGTGGTGGATTCACCATCCCTGGAGGTTTCAAGCTGAGACTGGATGTGGCACTTAGTGCCATGGTCTGGTGATCATGGTAGGGTTGGATTGATGATCTTAGAGGTCTTTTCCAACCCAGCTGATTTTATGATTCTATGTATGCTGTGGTATATCCACAGACACTTAAGGCTTAGAGTCAAATTAACAGGTGAGCACAGAAATTAGGATAACTATGGTGTAGTTGAGTTGATAAATGTCAAAAGATAGATGCATATTTTGGTCTAAATATGAGTGAAATTAGGATAACTATGGTGTAGTTGAATTGATAAATGTCAAAAGATAGATGCAAATTTTGGTCTAAATATGAGGTTTGATTCCTTTTCTGTTCTGTGCAGATGTGTAAAATCCCTCACTTAGGCCAGAGGTTGGATCTGCTGCTTACTCTCCGTGAGCTGCCTGTGAGCATGAGAGATTTGGAGCCTGTAAGTAACACGAATCCTTCCTGGTGTGTTTGTAATCAAAATCTACCAGTTTGATAGCAGAGAGTTGAACAACCTCAGTGCAGGTTTCAAAGATGTGTGGTTGGGGAGGTTTATTTTTGGTTTGGTGTTTTTTTTTTTCCCCTTTTTCCCCCCTCCTATAGCAAAGCATCTCACAGATCATAATGTGAGCAATTCACCAGGAAGACTGGTGTCTAAAAACACTCCATTCATGGCATAGTTAAAAAATAACAAGCAAAAAGATTAAAAGAATTCATAAAATCTCTCCAGGTCATGACTTTGATAGCCAAGGCATTGCATGAAGTTGTTAGGAACAGGTTGCATTTATCATATAGTGACACTGCTGCATTTTGGGAATCCAATTCCTTTGGTTGTGTTTTGATAATGATGGTATTGCACAAGAAAAAAAAAAAAAGAGATGAATGAGGTCTATGACACATATGTATAGGATACTAAATGCACAAACATATATCCTTATTCCACTGAGGTTCATGAAGCTGTTGTTGATGGGCCTAACAGTGGAACACAATTCCACAACGGAGGGAGAATAGAACAGGAAAGGATTTTTCCAGTTTTTATTTGGTGTTATTCAACTTTCCTCTTTCTTTGGACACTGAGAAGACAAAAGTGAATTTCACCATTCAAATCAACTCCCTTTGTGGGGAGGTTCTTGCCCCAAGAGCTGACAGAATCAATCTAAAGTCAAAGAGCAAGTTTATCTGAGCAGCATCTCATAGACATTTACTCCTTCCAGAAACCTGAAGGAGATTGTTCACCCTAACAATTACAGCACTGAGCTGAAATGTGGGGAACCAAGTCCCTCTCTACCTGTTTCAGGCTGACCTGGGGCTGGGGGGATACAAAATGCTCCAGTCTCATGACTGGATGCTCCTGTTCCAAGCAACTGCATTACCTGCCAGGTTTTATCTATGCTTTGAAATGCTTTTGAAACAAGTATTTCGACACAATTCTGCTTCCAGGAACGTGTTTCAAAGGTTTTGCTCTCATTCTGCAATGGGAATGAAAACAAAAGTGGAAAGTTCTGCAAATTCAGGTTGTTATCCTTTGTCTGGCTGTGATTAAAACCATAGTAACAGTGAACAAAACTCAGGAGCAGATGGAAAACACAGGGGAGATGCAGAGATTTCTGATATTGCCTGGTTCACTGCTACACCTTTGCTGTCCTCTACTGAAGCCAAACACTTCAATATTTGGAAGCTATTCCATGTCCTCTTTGATAGATATTTAATGTTCATGGAAGAGCTGATTAGTTGTCTAAGTATTTTCTTATTTATCCACACTAACACCTGTTTGCAAACCATAGAAAATACACCTAAAATTCTCTGGGATAACCTGAATATTGGCTTTGAGCACCCTCTGGCCCTGAGCTGCCAGTGGCTTTCGACTCTCCCATGTGTTTCATCCTTTCCCTGGCTGTAAATGTATGTGGTGGTGACAGATGGAGAGAGGTGTGGTGCTAAATAAACATGAATTTCCTAATTGAAACCAAAATCACCTCTTGTGTCTATAGCCCTAGAAGGGAGGAGGCTTCCCTGGGAAAACAGAATTATATGGAGTTTGATTACAGGAAATTATTCTTCTTCCTTGTGGGGAAACTGTGCTGAGAATTTTGATAACAGTGTTGAGCTGGGATCAAGAGGAGGGAGGGAGGTGAGGGATGGAGAGCCTCACACTGTGCTCCAGGCTCTCTGCTTCCCCTGGTACCTGACATTTGGTGCAATCTGGTACATGCAAACAGCAAAACATATTTCCCTGCAGAAGCATTGTAGGAGATGAGGTTGGTGTGGTTTCAGCAGAGCTGGTAGGGCAGCAAGGAAGGATGTGACCTCCTTCAGGGCAGGGTAACTGTGCCAACACAGCTTTATCTTGGTGGGAGAGTTTCCACTGGTGCTTCCTGAAAACCCTTGGCCTGTTCCCCAGGGGAGTTGAGCAGAAGATGTTGACTAAAGTGTGACTTGCTCCACATGGGGACATTGAGGCTTTGGCATGGGGAAGGCAGAGACAACATAGCCTTAACCACATTTTCAGCCTGAACTAAAGGAAGATTTATGTGTTTCAGCTGATAAACCAGAAAATCCAAGCAAGTAAGCAGCTGCAATCCAGCCTGAAGTTTGTTGCTGTCCTGGAGTACATTTTAGCCATTGGGAACCATTTAAATGAAAAGGCTGGAAAAGGGATGACTAAAGGATTTCGGTTGTCATCTTTGGCCAAAGTGAGTAAATATTTTCTTGTCATTAAAACCATCATATTCTAAGGTGTTAGTATATGTGTAGTATACTATATAGAATAGTAACTCAGTCTGGCCCTGAATGTGCAGAGAGGAAATTATTGATAATGAGTAGTTAACATTTTAATGTCTGCCCTTGGTTACACTAGGACAAAATCCTGTCAGAAATCTGTCCTTTAATGTCTATGATAACAAGATGTGTTTCCCCACTCAGACAGCAGCAGTGGCTGGAGTGGTGCTTAATATACTCTGTTTCTAATGAGGTAGAACATCAAAATGCTGACTGCCCTGGTAGGAAAATCCCCTGTTTAGAACAGAGTCTGAGCTGCAAGTCCTGGTTAGATCTGTGTTTAGGTGAAGTGTCTTGTGCAGACCAGGTCTGTGCTGTATAGACCTTTCACTTCTCTGTGCCAAGGCTGTAACTGGGAATTGCTTCTGCAGAGCTCACACTTCTGTGGCCCTGGGGTCATTTCTTAGTGCCTTGTTTTACTCCAGTGGAAGTCATCCAGCTCTGGGGTCCCAGCACAGGAAGGGCATGGACCTGTTGGAGTGAGTCCAGAGGTGCCACCAAGATTGAGAAGGATGGAGCAGCTCTGCTGGGAGGAAAGGCTGAGAGGGTTGGGGTTGTTCAGCCTGGAGAAGAGAAACTTTGAGGTGACCTAGTTGTGGCCTTCCAGTGCCTGAAGGAACCAACAAGAAAGATGGAGAGAAACTATTGACAAGGGCCTGGAGGGACAGAACAAGGGGGAATGGCTTCAACTGGCAGAGGGCAGGGACAGATGGGATAATGATAAAGAATCCTTCCCTGTCAGGGTGATGAGACACTGGCACAGGTTGCCTCGAGAATCTGGGGCTGCTCCATAACTGGGAGTGTTCCAGGCCAGGTTGGATGGGACTTGGAGCACCCTGGGCTGGTGCAACATGTCCCAGTTGGAAGTGGATGATCTTTAAGATCCTTTCAATCCAAACCATCCTATGATTCTATGAATCGAAGTGTCTATGAATCCAAACCATCCTATGATTCTGTGAATTGAAGTGTCTATACCAAGAAGTGATGCATTGCTATTTTAAGGTAGTTTCAAAAGTGTCATTGATACAAACTAATAAATTGAAAGGGAGTAAAACCTGCTTGCAGTGCTTTCCCCCTATCACTGCTCTGCTGGAGGATTTCACAGGGGATGAAGGTGGCAACTGTGATCTTTACTCCTCTCTGACTTTATCTGCTGTACAACAGGCATCATCCAGCTCTTCATTCTCTGTCTCTTCACTAACCTACCACTTATGTGACATTAGGATGAGTTTTCCACTAGTTTTAAGCAAAATTCTTTCTTCTCTTCATCAGAATTTACCATCAGAAAATGCTGCTACTGAAGACAGGTGGTTTTTCCCCCCTTCTCCACTCAGCAGTGGTAGAACATCAAATCCAGAAAATGCTGCTACTGAAGACAGGTGTTTTTCCCCCCTTTTACACTCAGCAGTGGTAGAACATCATATTCTTATCCTAAAAAGTAAGAAATAGATACAGATATCCTAAGGTGCCTTGTGCCTTTACCAGAATTGTAAGATTATGTCTGTAAATAGAAGAGAGAAGGATTTCTATTTTATTTTTATAAGGTATCTTTCCCATCTGGAGATTTTAATATATGAGTGAGTGATTTATAACTCTAGTGACAACTGAGACACAACTTGCTTTATTTTTTTGTGTATATATCTCTATATAATGCCTGTAATACCACATCTATCATCATGAAAAATGCCTCCAAAAGCAGTTTCTGCCACAGAGCAGCTTCCCAGATTCAATTAAGGAAGTTTGCTATTTTCCTGAACACAGCACACTGCTCCAAAGTGGAAAGGAATAATGACACTGTGTGAAGGTCCAAAATCAGTTGCAATCAATTAGGAAACCTTCTGTTAAAAAAGACCTGTGTGAATAACACAGGCACAAAAGAACAAGGAAGGTCAAGGAATATGAAAGTGTAAATCAGGGATGGGTGTGAAATGGGAGATGGAAAAGGAGAAGTTTAATTTAGTTGTTTTCTTGTCAAAATTACCTGGGAACTATCCACATCCTGCTGTTCCCCTTTTTAAAGTGTAATAGCTTAGTCTGTCAATTATTGCTCTATTCTCTTTGCAGTTGCCTCTGCTGAGGGGTAAAGAGAGAACCTTCACCTTGCTTCATGCCCTTGTGGAACAGATCCTCTTACATGAGCCTGATCTGGCCACATTTCCTCAGGAGTTGACAGAATTTGAAGCTGTTCCTGATGGTAAGAGGAGGGAGGGTTGGGGAAATTATCAACAACTGAAAAATGAAGTCCTTCAACTCCTGTGGCAACTCCCATCCTCACCCTGTGAATGCTACTTAGCATGTTTTTCCCTCTCTCTTCCTTTCCAGCTTCCATGAAGGGCCTCAGTGCTGAAGTTGATGGTATGTAAATGTGATTTCTCCATTCAGAGAGATTTTCATACCTTGTGCAGTCATTTGGAACAGGTTTTCATTGCACTTCTGTGGTTTCTTAAGAGGTAAAGTTCAAAACATCGAGGTGAAGAGTTGCTATGGTGATGCTTCACCTGCCATGCTACTGGGAAGGATGAACAAAGAGAAATAGGAAAATGTGCTCTGGTGGTTTAGGGATGTAAAAAATAGTAAATAGTTTAGCATGAAGGACAGATGTTAAGTAGTACAAGTGCTCCATCAAAGTTCTGGCTGTGGCAGAGTCTCTGGGAGGTGAATGCAGCAGGAGAAAATGTCTCAGAGCTCAGTCCTGGACTTGAGGAACTTTGAACCAAACTGGTCTCCTTGTGTAGAAGGAAGTCCAACACTAGTGAAGTCAACAGGAGGGAAGAGAAGAAGGTTGTTCAAACGTAAGATGTGACATGGGGGTTGGCTGTAAGGATAGACCAATATATCCAATTTCAGCCTTTGTTAGCATATCTAAGTCTCTATGTCAGATCTCAGTATGAGAACCCCTTGAACCTCTTCTGCTTGGCCTCAGGGGTCAGCCAGACTTGTAGCTCAAGGCTACTGAAGTGTGTGGTGTTGTCTTCCAAGAAATCCCAACCAGCTTTTGAGGAGACCTAAGGAACTAAAAATAACACTGTTTACCTTCCATCGATTGTGTTCTTCAGGGACAATGTTGCTAAAAATAACACTGTTTACCTTCCATCAACTGTGTTCTTCAGGGACAATGTTTGTAGCAATTCAGATCATTAAATATTGTCAAGATACTTTTGGCAAGTGATGGGGAAAGCAGTAAAATGGGCATGGAATCAAACACTGCTGGGAGCTGCCAACATTTCTTACTCTCTTACACTCATGGGAGCTGGAGGAGGTTGAGTGGCCTCTTCCCTCTCTGGATTCCTGATGTGCTCAGGGTAGTCACTGTTATCTTCTGAGTCCTGCTTGTCTTCAGAGAGGGAAGGAGATGGACTGAATGCCACTGAACCAGCTTTTCTCTTGAACTCTGTGGTGCAAGGCACACCCTGGAACTCATCTGCTCCAAATATTTTAAGAGCACAAGGGGAGGAAGATGCCAGAGTACAGCCTGGGCCAGTTCAGGACTGATGTCCCAGAGCCAAGGCTGAATTTTCTCCCCTTCAATCCCACAGTGTGAGATCTCCCACGGCAGCAGCTCGAGGTAGTGAACTGTCAGCATTTCTTCCTATTACAGAGAGGAGATTTTTTTGGTTCTTTTATCTTGAACCAAACCCTGAACTTTCTACACACAAAAAAACTAGGTTTGAAGGATGTTATTTTCATGGCTAATCCCAGTGCTCAGAGCTGGGAAAGGTCAGATTTACAGCAGCTGCATAACCAAGCAATTGACCTCTTCATTATTTTGCAGTTGCTGGGATGTGATCACACACTTTTTTTCCCCTAAGAAAATGCCTCTTTCAGGATTTCTATTCCAAAACACAAAGTTAATATTCCTAGATGAATGTATTAGAGACCCATATCCTCCTCAATTTTCCCTTGTGTCCCAAATTAGGCTTTTGTAGCCCTTTGGACACATCATGCTGGTGAAATTCCTCAATTTCTTTCTCTTCTTTCTCTTTTGTTAGTTTTAAGAAAAGAACTGGAAAACATTATTCAGTGCAGGAGACTTATTAAACCCAAGACAACCAAGGCAACACCCCAGGAGTCACAGTTCTGCAGGGAATTAAAGGTAACATTATCACAACCTCATTGTGGGCTGAAAGTAAATGAGGAGTAACCTGTTTGTGCTGAGACCTGTCCTGCCAAGGGAATCAGGAGCATTGGAGGGAAAAGAGGGTTTTTATTCCCCTCTGATAGTGTCTCATGCTGTAAGTTGCAGCCTGGGAAAGGCTTTTCAGTTTCTGCATCTTCTGCTTTTGTTTCATAGGTAAATGGGGAGAGGAACATCCACTGGAGTGGATGAGGAACAGGCAGTCCCATGGTTGCCCATTAGAAGCACTTTGGAATAACTGGAATTTTAGAGCATGTATGATTTTGTAGTGATTTCCTCTAGAAACTGAAATTTCTAAGGCATTTTTCTGCCTCTTTAAAAACTACCAACTGGGAGAGTTTTTCACAGGCAAAAATCCAATCTGTGTCAGATGTGGTGGAAATTAGGACCTTCTGATGCTTATCTGGTCCTGCCAGTTTTAACAGATTTAGGTAGTGTCATTGGATAACACAGTTAAGTTCTCTAACATTCATGTTGTTGGTTTTTTTGGGGTTTTTTTTTGTCTTTGATGTCTTAATACTTGCGAGGCAAAGTGTGTGCTTGATGTCTCCTTATCTTTTGTGAAATGTGAAATTTTTGTGACATGGAAATGTTGACTTGAACGATCTTGTTTTCATTGCTGTTTAATTCCTTGCTTTAATGCTATGCTCCTATAGCAAATTAAGAAGTTTTATTTTCTTGCAGGATTTAATTCAGAAATATGAAGGGGATCTAGCCCAGCTGTCAAAGAGATGTGATGAGATGAAGAAGCTTTACAGCAGCATCCTGGTACATAGCATATTCAAATGCAATGAAAATAAATCCACATTGCTTTAAAAAGAAAAAGGGGAGAAAGGCATGGAAAGAAGTGCAAGAAATCCCCATATTCCTCATGGTTCTACTGTCTACAGAAGCAGAAAGAAACCCCCAAATGATATCTAACAGTGGTGGAATATGCTGAATGAAAATCTGGCTTTTATTTTTCTTGAGGTCTTACAGCTTGCTTTTTAGAGGGTCTGTGGCCCAAATATCAAAGAGGAAAGTAGATGTTCAACAGCTTCATGAATTCAATGGGTTAAATGATGGAATGTTCACGGGTTCCTAGCAGCAATCATGTCTTTGACTGGTAGGCAGCTGCAAATCTCTTACTTGGGCTGAGGGGTTTTTCAGTGACAAGTTTATAGTCCAAGATAGTCTCACTGCCTTTATTTTATAGCAGAGCAGAGATGAAGCCAATATCATTCATTCTTTCTCAAATCCTTTCCATCTGTTCACCTTTGTCAGGTGAAGGAAAGAAGAGAACAGTGCTAGGTGACTCTTTGGGAAATTGCTTTTTCTCCCGAAATGTTTGTTTCCCTATGAATATTTTTGTGTGTTTGCTAAGTGAAACAACAGGAAAGGAAAACTTTTGGAACATGCTGCTCCCGTGGCCACCTTGGAATAGAAACCATTGGCCTAATGTACATATATATTCTTTGAACTGGTTCATCTGACCAACTGCAGAGCCAGGAAGCTTCAGGATGTACTGATTTTTCTCCTCTTCAGTTGGAGATCTCTAGTAACAAGAGAGAGTTATGCAGAAACCCAAGGCACTGAGGTAATGAAATTGCAATGCCTGGGACCACTCTTATTTGGAATGTTTTGGATCTCAGTTTGCTGGAGATTTCAGACAGCTCAAAATGTTGTTCTTCTTCCTTTTCCCCTTCTTCTTCCACCTCTTCTTCCTCTTTATATGAGTATTAGCAACAGTGAGGATGTTGAACTTTTCTCGTGCTCTTTTGGTTTCATTCAGATCCTCCCTATGGTTTAGATTACTTGGGGATATACTAATGTTAAATATTCTCTCTCAACCTTACAGGTCAAGTTTGGGGAACCACAAGACTTGGACTCCCAGGAGCTCTTTGGATGGATATCCTCATTCATTAGTGAGTTTAGGAAGGTCTGTGCTGAAATCATGCAGAAGGAGAACACAAACCTTGTAAAGAGGTGAGGGAAAGGGAAGTGCAGGAAACAATATTTAATGGGCTTGAAAGTTTCTTTACTGCTAAGTAGTACATAGTGTATAGTGTGTACAGCAGCACAGGTTGAGTTGGAGAGATATTCCATTTATAAGTTGTTATTTGGAAGAGGTTTTTGACTTGTAGGATCACAGAGCAATTATGAGCCTCTCTTCATTTTCCTGATGTCTGTGCTGTTGTATCTTGAGATTTCTGTGTATTTAGAAAGGAAACAATTTGCTATTTTATCATTCTCTTTTCAGTCTTTCCCTGGGAACACTCACTCTCCTGTCACAGTTTTACCTATTACATTCAACCAATAAATCTCTGCATGGTAATCCAATTTGTAACCATTTTCTCCTGCAGTTTTCTAAATGATACTTACAAGTTTCATAATGAATTGGGAAGTTGTTACCCACAGAGGAGAATACAAGTTTCATAATGAATTGGGAAGTTATTACCCACAGAGGAGAATATTATTTAACCCAAATTCTTTGTTTTCTTGCTTTTAAAGCCTTGCAGCTTTAGTATGTAATGGAGAAATCATCTAGTTGGGTGTTTTGTTTCCTCTCCCTCCCAAACAGTACAATAAAATAATGCTTTGTATGGCTAATATCGTGTATGGGGGTAAGATGCTATAGAAATCAATCAATCTGTGAGGTTTGCATTGGCAGAAAAATATCAGAGGAGCAAAATAATGTGTCATGAAACATCTCAGTAATGGATCCTGAAGGTAATTATCCATGAGTTTCAAAAGAGAAAATCCTTTTGTTGCATTTGTTGCCTTTTCCATGCTTTTAATTAGAATAATTATCTAGAGCTCAAATAAACGAGAGGACAAGGAGGTCTAGAAATGCAAAAACAAACTGAATGTGTGTAACATTAAAAGCAGAAAACAGTTGTAAAAGGTCACTGATAAAATTTGGTGTTTTCCCATCCATTTTGCAGTTTTGAGAATATGTAGATTCCCTGATTTATTTAATTCTGCCTGCCCAGGCCTCAGTGTTTGGGCTTTGATGGAAGTGCTGAACACTCTCCCTGACTTCAGTGCTAAAAGGAGGAGTTGGGGCTAATCCCCCTGAAAGGCTTAGCTGCACTTACATTTAAAAATCACATTATCCCAGCCCTCCCTCAGCTGGCACATGACATTTCTCTGTATCCAGCATGTTCTTTGCTGTTCCAGATGTGACCACTGCTTGACCATCCAGGTGTTTAGGTAAAGGACCAAGAAAAAGCCAGGAATGCACCAGTTAGGGCTGCAATATGGACCTGTTTAGTGCTGGTTGTGTCAGGCAGTAAAGGACATTCACCAGGAGCACAGAGACACTTGGATACTGTCTGGGAAGTGGAGACAGAAGAAGCCTAAGATTTGTTGCTGCAGCTTCCACCCCTCATTTCTGTCTGAGAGAGGAAAATTCAAGTCCTTTTGAATTCCTTACATCTCTATAGCACAGAGCCCTACCCAGTGCATGTACCTGCACTGGAAGCACCTGCAGGTTTTGCTGTGTGTGGTTACTGCTCCAAAACCTGAACTGTCTTCATTGGTATGGGAATCATGTCAGATATTCCTGAGTACAAGTGCCATTTCCATGGTATCAGCAATCCCTGCATCCCTCAACAGCCTTCGTGATGGTCATGATAAGTTCCATATTTTCCTACTTTAGCTCTAGAGTCCTGAGAAGTCTCTTTGAACTAAATAGTTTTCTTTCTTTTTTCTCCCTCCACAAGTTGCTTTTTCCCTCCTCTGTTATTATACCTAACAGCTTGCAGTTGTTTTATAGCTCAGTTGGCCTGGCCTCTGCCAATTAAAAGTATATTCTACACAGTAGTCAATATCTGTGGCTTTGTGTGAATATCCTGCAGCATTAATTACAAAAATTAATGTCCAAATACCTTCTTGGCAAGAAGTTCTCTCTCCTTCAGAGAGCACAGAGCTTTCCTGTGGAGCTTACTGAGGAGACAGTTCCATTTCCCCAAATAAGCTGTTTCTCAGAGCCTGTGAGTTTTAGATTCCTCCTGATTTAGATGTAAAAATAAATCTATAGACCTTGTTCCTTACCTCATTCCTTTTTTCTCAAGTGTTACTTAACAATACGGTTTAATAGACTTGAAAAACCCAGTTTTATGCTATTCATTCCTTTTTTCTCAAGTGTTACTTAGCAATACAGTTTAACAGACTTGAAAAACCCAGTTTTATGCTAAGTTCTAGTGGTATAAAGAGTAATAGTTTTAATCCCTCAGTGTTTATTTGGAATTATATAGACAAGCTCTAAGTCTCCACGTGGATAATGTCCTTGGAATCCTTCCTTAGGAGATGACAGATGTAAACCTGAAGTCCTCAAAGTCAAAGAATTGGGTGAGACTTCACTTTGTGGAAACTACTACTGCTGGGAGCAATCTGCCAGGTAGCAACCTGCAAGAGCTGTAGTATTTCTCCATCTGGGTTATTTATTTCCCTGCAAAACCCATTGGACATGTTATGGAATATGAAATCTTAATGATAGTGTTCTAGGAAGTTCTGCTCAGGGAAATTAGCCTCAATATTCAGCTGTGTGGAGTAAAGCTGTGGGTCAAATGCTGCACTGATTTGCCTTTCGTGGCAACTCAGCTGTGTAAGAACTGCTCAATCCAGGAGGAACTGGAATCTCTCTTCATAGTTGGTTTCCTTGAAGTGGACACTTGGTAGGATAAAGAGTATTTCAGCAAGAACAGGAAGGATAATGTCTGTAGCTCCTATTAGACATTGGTGGTCTAACCATTAATGGTTAGCAAAAATGTCTCAAAGAAGCTCTTCCCTCCAGGGTTGGAGCTCCCAGAATAAATCCCTGACTTTATCCTCTTGCTCAGTGTCTCAGCATATTCAAATCTGCCCTGGGAAAGGCTGCAAGAAATGGAGCTTGTACAGGCACAGGTCACTGAATTGGTTGGAGCTCCCAGAGGGTTGTTCCACGTGTCCCAGTGCTCACAAGGTTTTTTCAAGAATTCACAGGTGGAAATGCAAATTTCTTTCCCCAGAGGCAGAAATTTCCCAAGAGTTCTTCAAAGCAAAATGGGAAAGAGCAGAGACTCAGTGGCAAAAATATAACTCCCACAAATGGACAATTATATCCTGGGGCACTGATTGAACTTTGCTTTCCAGTTTTTCTCTCTTTTCCCCCTCCTTTTCCTGTTTGAACTGCAGACAACCAGGGGCCAGGCAGAGTGCTGCTGCTAATTTGGATAAATGTACAGTGAGAGTACAAATTGTGGGCACTTGGAAGGTGTTCTAGGCATGAAAACCTTGAAGTCACTAGGTATGTTGGGCTCTTGGTTTGAGTTAATGCTTTTCACATCCAATCACCAACTTCAGGAGAAGGAAAAAACTAGGGAAAGTGAATAAAAACATAGGAGCTCTAAAAGGGAACCTGTGGGGCACTCACTGTACAGCAGCTAAAGCATGACAGTGTCCTTAGAACACACTCACTCCTGTGCTTAAGAAGTTGTGCTAATGATGGCTCAGAAGAACCACAAACAAGTTTCAAGCTGCTCATCTGAAAAAGAAGATATTAAAAGCTTCAGACCAAGCTTTGACATAGTGCTGAAGTGGCTCAAAGAGCCCTTGGGGAGAGATCCTTCCCTGCATCACTCACAGAAGTTTGGCTGTGGAGGTTCACAGAGCCAAGATTTCATTCCCTGGTTTGAAAGATATTGCAAAGCTCAACAAGTAAGTTTTCTCACCAAAGTAAATGTTCTTTTTTTTTTTCTTTTTTTTTTTCACTGTTGCTGCTCATTGTGGCAAAATCTTGAACCACCTTCTTGATTCCCAGAGCATCAAAGCAAAAAAGAGACTGTTTACAAGGGTATGGAGTGAGAGGATGGGGGGAATGGCTCACACTGACACAGTAGGGTTAGGTTAGATGTTAGGAGGAAATTCTTCCCTGTGAGGCACTGGCACAGGTTGTCCAGAGAAGCTGTGCCTGTTACATCCCTGGGAGTGTTCCAGGCCAGGTTGGATGAAGCCTTGAGCAACCTGCTCTGGTGGGAGGTGTCCCTGCCCAGGGCAGGAGTTGGGGCTGGATCAACTCTAAGCTCCATCCCAACCCCTTAACTATCCATGATTCTATGACTCTTGGGTTCCCTGTGAGGCACTGGCACAGGTTGTCCAGAGAAGCTGTGCCTGTTACATCCCTGGGAGTGTTCCAGGCCAGGTTGGATGAAGCCTTGAGCAACCTGCTCTGGTGGGAGGTGTCCCTGCCCAGGGCAGGAGTTGGGGCTGGATCAACTCTAAGCTCCATCCCAACCCCTTAACTATCCATGATTCTATGACTCTTGGGGGTACTTGGCCAACCCCTTAACCATCCATGATTCTATGACTCTTGGAGGTACTTGGAAATGAGTGAGGGAATGCTAAATGGGTTTAAACCTTTCCCCTTGCTGCCTGTTTATCCAGGGATGAATTCTGCCCATTGAGAATCTTTTAGTCAAGGGCAATCAACAGGAATTATACAACAAAGCCCTGCAAAGTAGCTAAATATTGCTTTAAGCTTATTTTAGATATAAGACATTAGAGACAAAAGGTTTTGGATGGAGATTTGAAGTCTCTGGATGCAATTAAAAAAAGCTGCAATTTGTTTTGGAACAGAAATAACTGACACTTGTACAAGGATAAATAACCAGTGATGTATGCTGTGATGATGTCATTTGCTCATAAGCATTGAACTAAAAAAGCCCCAAACCCCAAAGGTTATTGTCCATAAAGATCAAGTACCGATGAGCATATTTATACCAAAATTCTTCTTGTAGCTCCCAGAAATGTTCCTGAACAAGCTCTAGAGGACTTGGCCTGAAATGATGGAATTATAAATAGAAATTTGCTCAAGTGGATTTCAAAACAAGAACTTTCCTCAGTCAGTAAATAATTCCCAGATAATATCCCAAGTTGCTGTCATTAATGCTTAGAGTGAAGTTTGGTGCCTGGAATGCTGCCACTTAAAACAATCTGAGCTCTCC